ATTCTTTCCAAGTTGCTGTTTTCTAAAGGCATGACATCTTCGTTTTAACAGATATTTGAAACAAGGATAGATGCTTGCCCTGTATGTGCTCAGACAAGTCTCTATTGCGGAACATCAGCACTGGTCTTTGACCTGTCAGTGGTTAAGATGCACAATTACAGACACTTATCTAAATGGACAGCTATGTAAAGCTAATGCTTTTGCTCGATCTCTATTCTGTCTCTTACAGTGGTTTGTCTCTTTTCTGAAAAAGGTTATAAACATGAAGCAGAAGTATACTGAAGAACAGAATTGATTAATGTGACATATTTGAGGGTTTTTTTTTAAATACTACTCTCTCAACAGTAAGTCATAGAGAGGCAACTCTAAGCAACTGAATTAAATTTCAATTACACAGCTCTGCTAGAGAATTGTTCAGCTAAATCCACCTTCAAAATGAAGTTTGACTTTTTTTCCCCTTACACTTGAGTCACTGCTTCATTTTTCGTATTGTGATGATTTCTGTCAAGGCATAGACTGATTCAAGATTTTTAGTTACAAGATTTTGCTAGTTTTCTTTTTCATTTTTAATGGAATATTTACAATTTTTATACAATATGATTTCATGGTATTTAGATCCCCTCCCTTGTCCCCACCTTGTCTGATTGTCCCTCTTTCAATTTAATTATTAGATATAAAATAAGGCCTGTTAGTCTAATTTGTATCTGCAAATGTTCTCCAGTGTGGTTCTAGCCACTGGAGCCTGGCTAACCTACCAAGAACCCTCCCTTGAAAGAGACCGTCTCTGCCCCTCCCAGCAGCCATCTGTTGCCAGAATTTCCCTAGGTGGGGTTGGATCTTCTTACCCACCTCCTCATGCCTGTGCTGGGATTGTTTTACTGGTTTGAGGTTGCATGGGACTTGTGAATGCTGTCAGTGTTGCTGTGAGTTCATATGAGTAACTGACCAGTTGTCTGTAAAACTATTTCCTTATAGTCATCCACCACCTCTGGCTCTTACAATCTTTCCACCCCTGCTTCTGAAATGAGCAAAGTTTGATATAAGTGTCCTATTCAGGGATAAGCATGCTGTAGCCCCTTGTTCTCCGAACATTGCCCTGTTGTGCATCTCTGTATTAATCATCATGTGCTGTATCAAGAAATTTTTCTGGTAAGAGCTGAGAGATGCATTCATCTATGAGTGTTAGAGTAAGTCATTCACAGTCAGTTCAATACAATAACTATTCAGTAGAAAACTAGCATTAGGTTCTCTACTATGTCCTGTGACCTGTCTAGCCTCAGTTTCCTAAGCCTGATATTAATGTCAGATATGGGCTCTTCCTAAGAAACTGACTTTAAATCCAATTAAAGAACGGTTGGTTACTTATATAATATCTGTGCCTTATTGAGAATTCAGAGACCCCCTGTAGCCACAGCTTGCCTGGATTCACTATGGGGACCAGGCTGGCCTCAAACTCAAGAAGATCCACCTGCCTCTGCTTCCCAAGTTGTGGGATTAAGATATGTGCCACCACACCCGACATGAATATATATTATTGAAGGGGGAAATAGAACATTAGAGCAGGAAAGGTTAAATGGGGCTGGGAATGGGAGGGTGGGTAGAGGACGGAGTATAGGGAGGGATAAGGAACACTAAAGTCTTTTAGTAAAAGCTATGTGGAAACCTACATTATAGAAGCTTCTTAAATTATATACATATACATCGTAAGAGATTAAAAGAGTTATCTTTTAACAGGGGGATGCAGTCCTTTCTAGACATCATGAGCTAATCAAAATAATAAATAAATAAACAAATTAATTAATTAATAGAAATAAATTAAAATCTCAATGCCAAGAATGGACTCCCTTTCTAGAAGCTGTTGACCAGGAATCCCACAGACCCTCAAACAATACTGGCCATTGCCCCTGCTCTTGGTTACCCTCCAGAATTGGACAGTAATACCCTAGTTCTGAAGATGCTACACACATGAGCTGTAGACCAAACAGGAAGAACTCAAGCTGGTGCTGGCTTCAGAGCCTCATCTCTACTGGCTAGTGTTAATAGTGCTGGAAGGTGCTCTGCATACTACTGGAAGGAAAAAATAATCATAAACTCTACCCAGCTGTGAACCCTATTAACTACAATAACAACTAGCTTGGCAAGATGTGATCAGTGGTTCAATTGTTTTTATTTTTAAAGAAAAATATAGAACAATCAAGAATATATATATATATATATATACTATAGGAAAAAGTTCATTAAAAACCTAAAATGTAGGGGGCTAGAGAGATAGTGCCATGGTTAAGAACACTGACTGTTCTTGCAGAAGACCCGGGTTCAAATCCAAGCACCCACATGGCAGCTAACAACTGTCCATAAATCCAATTCCAGGGGCTCCAACACCCTCTTCTGGCCTCTGTGGGCATTGTACAACAATTGTCTATTTTATTTTGTTTTATTGTTAATATCATCTTTATTTTATGTGTATGAGTATATTGTTTGCATATGTCTAAGTATACCCATGTCATGCAATGCCCTTGAAAGTCAGAAGAAGACGTTGGCTTCCCTGGAACTAGAGTTAGAAGGGTTGTTAGCCACCATGTGGGTGCTGGAAATTGAACTTGGGTCCTCTGCAAGAACAGTCAGTGCTCTTAACCACTAAGCTATCTCTCCAGCTCCATTTATTTTTTTTAAGATGAGGTCTTACCATGTAGCCCTGACTGATCTACAACTCCTTATGTAGACCAGGATGGCCTTAAACTCAAAGAGATCCACTGGCCTCTGCCTCCTGAGTGCTGGAACTAAAGGCAAGAGTCACCATGTGCTGCTTGTGTAGTGATTTTTTTTTTTCCTGTAAGAAGAGTGCTGTACAAGATACCATTATATGACATTTATATGACCTTTTAAAAAATTTTTACATATTGTGTTTTGTGAAATGTTAACACTGAGAACATCACATTTTCTCTCTTGTAGAATTATCCCCCCCCCCCAAAAAAAGCTTTAAGAGCAAATTAACTTGTGTCACCTAAATTATTTAGTCTGCAGGAACATTATCTAACAAGCCACAAGTGTGTAGCCACAAATTTATATTAAGGAGCAAGCACCCTAACTCATATTTGATGTTTTCCTATGTCAGCCTGAACCTAGGTCCAAGTTGAAAAGAATTCATATGTACAACTATTAGTTTAAAATCTAAAATTATGTTATTTAGAAATATAGTTCAAAATGATTTAATTAAAATGATTCCACCTTCATGAAATATCAAGGTCAGTATTGATAATATTAAAATGTAATCAACATTTACAATGTGATCCTGTTCTAGGTACTTTCAATGTACTGACTTAATCTTTAAAAACAGTGTGTCTAACCACAGAGCCATGTCTCCAGCCCCAGATACTACTTTTAATATTCATATAACATACTCCAAAACCCTAAGCATTTTAATTCCTTTTAAAATTTTACATTTAAATTCTGGAATTGAACTGGTAATGTTATGAGTATCATTGGGTAGCAGAAAAGTGTTTCATAAAAAGGGGGAAAAAAAAGAAGACCCTGAGAGATATCTACACACACCCTCAGTGAATAATCATCTCATTAAAAGCTAAAATAATGACTTAGTTGTCAAATCAGTTATCAGAAGACAGTTCCTGTCCTTTGCCTCCAATGAGCTCACTAGCAGAATGAATAGGCTTTATAAAGCCTTGACATCATTACAAAGTACTCAAGGAACAAAACGTCTGCACAAGAAACGTGGTTGATGCACCCAAGGAGCCACATTGTAGTAGAATAAGTTAGATAAGTCAATAATAATGTGCATCTCTTAAAAGGAAATTTGCAGTGTGCTCAGGTAACACAAAGCAGAAAACTTTTGGTAGAAAAACTTAAATTTTTTTCATAGCATTTTAGAAGTATATCGAAACTTACAATCATGTAAGTATAAAATATTTGATTTCTTAATCATCTTTATACCCCCATACCCTGTTATTTTAATTCAACTGTGAAATGAGGACTACATCAGTTTTACTGTGTCTTCGGAATCTTCTAAATCTCCTAAACACTTTGCAAATGTAATGAGATATTTTCCTTCTTGTACTTTGAATTCTGTTTTATTTTAGTATTAGGCAAATCTGATATAAACTTTCACACATTCCATGCAATAACTGCTGAGTTTATGACTGCACATAAGTGACAGTAGAGAACCTTTGGTGCTTGTCGATGTGCTGATTATGTGAGTAACTACTAGGATTTACACACTGCTTTTCATCACCATGACTATTATCATTTATACTGTAAATGCAGTAAAGCAACTATAATATCCCTAAGGAAGCAGTCACCTTCCCCTCCCTTGCCCTGGGCACAGTTTTTATTCATTATGAAGCATAATGGGTGAAAAGGGCAGTAAGGAAACAGTACTTACTATCTGAACATTGTAAAAGTGATATCTGGGTATCAAAGTACCTTAAATGAAACTACGTTTCATTCTTTTGCATTGAGGCAACATATATCTAATTCTCTACTTAATCTGTGTTTCCCAATTATGACAAGCTACATCTCAGAGATTTATCAAACTACCTGTTCGTGAATGTAAAAGGTTATGGCTGTTCAGCGTTCAGGAAGCTAAGCACAAGTACTACATAAAGCCCACTGATGCATACGTTGTAGCACTCCGGGGATGTAATAAATTTCAGATCGTCTGTGTCTGCCAGCTTGTTTCAAGCATCTGTGTCCCCTATATGCAGCTTCTCTTTGTAGCTGAATGGATGATCTCCTCCCTCTTGCCTGCTTGTATGTCCACAAGTAAAACAAATCCTAAGCAGGTTTTCCCATACATGCAGGTACTTCCATGAGAGATCTAAGACATGTTGGTGAATTTCAGCTGTGTCTCTGAAAGGGGAAATAATGAGTTCAGTTTCTCAACCTGTGAGGTGATCACAAACTATGTTTCACTTGTGAATGAGAAAAAGAGAAGACGACCTCCCAGAGCACTTTGAATTAATCTGTGGAATGTGATTTCTTTGCAGACCACAGATGACATCCTTGTGGCCTCAGCAGAGTGTCCCAGTGACGATGAGGACATTGACCCCTGTGAGCCGAGCTCAGGTGGGTTAGGTTAGTCAATTTTTTTTCTTACTTCCTTGCCTTTACTGTAAATCTTTGTTGCATGTTATATTCCTTAGAAGAGCTGCCATTTATGTGTGGAGGGCTACCTTGAGCTACCTCATTGTAAGATGCTGCACTGTCTAGTGGGTTTTGAGAGGGGCATGGCAGCGTACGCTAGTAATTTCAGCACTGTGGAGATAAAGAGAAAGGATGAGGATTTCAAAGTCATTTTTGGCTACATAGTGAATTCAAGGCCAGACTGGGCTATCTGAGCTCTTGTCTCAAAGAAACCAAACCAAACAAAGAGATTATCCAATAGGGGCTGGAGAGATGGCTCAGTGGTTAAGAACACTGTTTGTTCTTGCAGAAGACCCGGGTTAGGTTCCCAGCACCCACATGGCAGCTAGTAACCATCCACAACTGCATTTCCAAGCGATTCCCATGCCTTCTTCTGGCCTCTGTGGGCATTGCATGACAGAGGAGCGCATACACACACACACACACACACACACACACACACACACACACGTAGGCAAAACACTCATACATGTAAAACAAAAAGTTAAATAATTAATTAAAATTATCTGATGGGTTGCTTCCCTTCACTTATATGTACTTCCTCACTTAAAAAAATTAAAAACAAAACCAGCAAGAATATACATTTCAGAGAAAGCAACAGGGAGCAGCTGCCTTACTGTTCGGCCTCCTTTAGCTCACAGCGCTGTTGTGTATAATGTTACAATAGACTTTTCCCTAGGTTGCTTGTAGAATCATAAAGCTAAAAATTTATAATACATTGTGAAAAAGTCTTTGTTGAAAAAACCCACTGTTCACTGTGCTAGCAAAGTATCTTAAGTGATATAATTCTGAATTTTGGAAGTTGGAGCATTATAGCAATTATAAAACAAATGGCAGGTAAAGTCCTCAATAGATTTAATAGAGAAAGATTTGGTTCTTGCCATGTTTCCCGACAGTTCAAGCTGCATTTTATTTCTAGGTGATTCCCTATTGCTGCTTCTCTTTTTATGAGCTGTTTGCATCTCTTCTGATGGGACTGACACATGACCACTGTTTCTATACAGCCCTTATGTGGTTAAGTGAAAACAGTGGACCCTAAAAATGAATGAATCACATCAGATATTCACAATATGAGGCTCATTTCCATCAGTTTTGGGGTTTTTTTTTCAAAGTGCTGTCTCAATTTCCTTGTTTGTCTTAACAAAATGACTTCTGGGGAAGTGAAGTGGCCACTGTCAGCTCACTGCCTCTGCAAATGTTACCTAAAACCCCAGGAGAATTTGTCACAATAAAATAATTTGTATTCTTATTTTTAAAACTTACCATTTTAAAGTAAGTCTACTCATTCTGATTCTTGAGTTTAAAATACTTTTAGATGCATAGGCTGTATCTCTTTTATGCATGTCACTTATTTATCCAGGTGCAAGCACTTAGAAACAGCTGCCAGGGAGGGTTCAGTGCACCCAGTCCATTCTCATCAGGAGCTAGCTAATGCTAGAGATCTACCCTCCTTTCTAGGCAGATCCACTCCCACAAAGCTCTCAGCCCCACAGTCACCCATCACATGTGATTTTTTCATCTCTGGTGATCATCCACTCAGTTCTACTCCTTCATCTCTGCTCTCAGTCGCTCTTCATTGTGAGATCACCACACTGGTCCTTATAGTCAATATCCTACCTTTGTTTTTGTTGGTGTTCTTTCTACTGTCTCCATCTAGTCAAAAAAAAAAAAAAAAAAAAAAAAAAAGGAAGCTGGGTGTGTTGGATGCCTTTAATCCCAGCAGAGGCAGAGGCAGAGGCAGAGGCAGAGGCAGGCAGATCTCTGTGAGACTGAGGCCAGCCTGCTCTATATAGCGAGTTCCAAGCCAGCTGGGACTCCAAGGAGACCTTTTCTCGGAAAAGAAGATGATTTTTGCTTTTCCATGGTGGTATTACTCCTATCTCTTTGCCTCTTCCTCCCTCAAATTTCCTTCTCTGTTTTCTGATGCCAAGATATTTCTGGTGTTAATCTCAGACGCAAGCCATCATTATTGTTTGCCTCAGTCTTCTCTGAATCTTCAGCACAGATTATTCCATCTACAAAGTGAGTTTTGTCTTGTTTGTGTGCATGTGTGTGTGCATGCATGTGTTTGATTTAATTTTCACAATTAGTGTGTTTTGAGGGCAGCATTGATTTCAGCATTTAAGCATGATTCCAACGGTAATGGGAACTTCCTACTAATTGTAGTGCTTGCTGATTTTCCTCTGGCCTAAATCCCTCTTCTGCTGAGTATAGGGGATCACCCTCTTTAGACAGAACCCTTACTTAAGTACCTAGTAAATCCAGTGTGAGGACTCTAATTGCACTCGAAATTGTCACTTGTTCTTTCTTCCTGAGCTAAATGGTCCAATTAGTCTAACCATTGCTTATAGGTCTTATTACACATTCTTTAGTGACTACTCTATGGTCTCTGCCATTCTCAGGGGGTTGTGGACCTAAGAACAGGATGGAGGAGGAAGAAGAAAAGGAGACAGGTGAGGGAAGAGGGAGACACCCTTTAGTCTTCCCTTTTTACATACATACATACATACATACATACATACATGCATATATCTATATATTATATATATATTTTTTAATTGCATGTATGTGTCTGAGTGGGGAACTGTGCATATGAGAAGTGAGTGCAGGTGCCTGCGGAGCAGAGGCTAGAGCATCAAGTCTCCTGGAGCTGGAGTTCCAGGCAGTTATGAGCTGCTTGACATGGGTGCTAAGAACTGAACTTGGGTCCTCTACAAGAACTACACTGCTGAGCCATCCCTCTAGCCCCCTCCCCTTCTCCTTTCAATTCATCTGACTTTTGTCTACTTCATTAAATATCCTCACAGAATAGGAGGAAGCACCCGCTGGTCACCAGCTATGCTTCACAAGGTCCTTCTGTCCTCTCTTCTTTACCGCATTTGTCGTTATCTGAAAGGATCTTGAGTGCTAGTCTCCCACTAGTTTGCTAATGCCCAGCTTCCACCATCACCCACAAGAAGGCTCACAATGAAACAGGTACCTGTTTGTCTACATCGTTCTCTGGACTTATTCTAAACGTTTAAACATTTTTCTGCTACAGTGTGTGATGCCCTAAACACAAGAAGCACAGCTACTGATTCTATGTAACCACAAGCATTTTAACACTGTGTGTTATATGTGTATGTATTTGCATATCCGTGGAGATCAGAAGACATCAGATGTCCTGCTTTACCTTTCTCTGCCTGACTCCCTTGAGAAAAGTTCTCTCACTAAATCTGAAGCTTGCTTTTCTGACTAAACTGGCTGGCTAAGGAGCTACTGGAAATCTGCCTGTCTCTGCCTGCAACAGTGGGTCACGGATATCCACATCTTGTTTTTTCCTTTCCTTTCTTTTCTTTCTTTTTAATGTACGTGCTGGTGATTGGAACTTAGGTCTTCAGGTTTGCATAGCACTCTTACCTACTAAGCCACCTCCTCAGTCCTCACTTACCTCACTTTAACACTTCTACCCCAAGCCGAATTTAACTTCCTCCTTCACTCCTTAGTTTTCTGTTCATCATCTTGGTAAAGCAAGTATTTCAAATTCTGCCACTCCAGTAGGATCACTTACATCAGCCTTGTGATCCTACCAGTCGTGTTTAAGGTAGAGCCACAAAGGGATTTTTTATTTTGAGTTTTCAAAAATTTGTTTTTATTGAATTTTTGTGTATTTCATACAGAATATCTCAAACAATCTTAATCATCTTTATATCCTTGTCCCACCGGCCCCCACTCTGGAACCCATATACTCTGTCATCTGTGTTAAGTCCCACTGTGTCAAGTCAGTGTCCCCGGAAGATCCCCAGTGCAAGTCCATCCACTGAAGTGTAGTCAGCCTATCTAGTCTTTTGCGTTAAGAAGATAAGCTCTTCCTCACCCAGCAGTAATCAGTCTCTCAATACCCAAGTCAAGTTTTATAAAACAGATTATATACTAACCAGAGCAGGTATCAAAGGATCTCGTGCTGTACTGTCCTACTGGAAGTTATACCTTTTTCTGTCAATCACATAAGTACACCTGCTATGTACCAGGCATAATTTTGGCTGACAGATACGCTCAGATACTCACAGAACCCACCTTAAAAAGGTGAATGCTTTAGGGATTCTCTTTTTATATTACATTCTCTAAATGCAGTCTCCTTCTCCATTGACTCTTCCATTCAACTCTCTGATTTTTTCCAAGTTCTTTAATGTTTTATGTAATATTGTGCCTCTAACAGAATTACACTAATTTTATAACCGCTTGCTACAAAATTCTCAGTTTTTATAATATATTTTTTTTATTTTCCAACTATTATTTAAGAAAAGCAGTCTCTGTTCTTTACTCTTTACCCTGCTTGATTCTGGTATAGTTTCTCTCTGGGATACTGCCCCATGGGTTGCTCTTTGTGGATGGACTGGCTTTCTTACATCTCTCTCAAGTTGTTACTTCTCTTTACAACAAAAAAAAAAGTAATATTGGCAATAATTGTAACTGCTGGTATTGTTACATTTTGGCTTCTGTATATCTTTTTAAAAATAATTTCACATATAAGCAGGTCTATGGTGGGGAAACCAATTCTTTAAAATGCTAACACTGTGGCAGACATTTACAAATGTTCTTATCTCCTGCATCAGTAATTCCCTAAGCTGGTAAAAACAGGTATTTCTGAAGAGATGCATGATTACTTTTATAAGTGCACCTCACAAACCTTTTGGGTATTTCACACTATCTGAATATTTACATATGGTTCTAAGTATTCAGACCTTCTTCCCACTTTAAAGAAAACAAAGCCTTTTCTCTGCAGCCGTACCACCTTCCTTATTCATGTTCCTTCTTCCCAAAGCTGCTAATGGAACAAAAAGTGAAAAAAAAAAAGAATCTGGCATCTTTCTGAACACTAGCAAATTATACCTTTTATCAAGTGCTGGATAAATTTGAATTGCCACCATTCCACTCAGTACTCTTAATGA